ACTATCCAATAATTTCTTTCACAGCGGAGGAATCCTGTACAGGAGGACTCCTGATTTGGGTTTGTTAAGGTGTGTCGATGCAAGGAAAGCAACCAAGTTATTGGAGGAAGTACATTCAGGGACCTGCGGACCGCACATGAATGGTTTTGTTTTAGCAAAGAAGATACTCCGAGCAGGATATTTTTGGATAACTATAGAAATAGACTGCATCCAGTATGTCCGAAAGTGTCATCGCAGATACATGCAGATATGATAAAAGTGCCTCCAAACGAGCTTAATGCAACAAGCTCACCATGGTCGTTTGCCTCTTGGAGAATGGATGTTATCGGTCCAATCGAGCCTGCCGCGTCAAACTGGCACAGGTTCATCTTGGTAGCAATTGATTATTTTACTAAATGGGTTGAAGCAGCATCATACAAAGCAGTTACCAAGAAGGTGGTAGCAGATTTCGTCCGCGACCGTATTGTTTGTCGGTTCGAAATTCCCGAGTCAATCATCACCGACAATGGTTCCAATATTAACAGCGACCTGATGAAAACAATGTGTGAGACTTTCAAGATCAGACACAAGAACTCTACGGCTTATAGACCGCAGATGTATGGAGCCATAGAAGCGGCCAACAAAAACATCAAGAAAATACTAAGGAAGATGATCGAGAGGCGCAAACAATGGCATGAGAAGTTGTCATTCGCCTTATTAGGTTATCATACCACAGTCCGCACATCAACCGGGGAAACTCCCTCCATGCTGGTTTATGGTACAGAAGTGGTCATTCCCACTGAGGTAGAAATTCCATCATTAAGGATCATACAAGAAGCCGAGTTAGATGACGCATAATGGGTAAAAGGTCGCTACGAGCAGTTAACCCTCATAGATAGAAAGAGGATGAATGCAGTCTGTCACGGTCAGTTATACCAGAATAGAGTGTCCAGAGCCTTCAACAAGAGAGTTAAACCAAGGAAGTTTACACCAGGACAGCTGGTGTTGAAGAAGATATTTCCACGTCAAGACGAAGCCAAAGGGAAATTCTCTCCCAATTGGCAGGGTCCATACATGGTTCACCGACTTCTAACTGGAAGAGCCCTTATTCTTGTAGAAATGGACGGAGAAGTCTGGCCGAAGCCGATCAACTCAGACGTAGTAAAGAGATACTACATTTGATCGTATGTTTTTCTTTATGATGTAATTTGAACTACGCCTAACCTAATTCCCGTTTAAGAGGGGACACGTAGGCAGCCCTATGGGTTCGGTCACATTTTAATAAAAATTCCACTTTCCCCGCTATTGGAACTGGGACAGAATTTTGAGGAGGATCCTCAAAATTCCGAAGTCAGTTTGTCGGCTTTCGCATCAACATCAACCCAGTAAACTGGGGCAGAATTTTGAGGAGGACCCTCAAAATTCTGGAATCGATCCGCTTTCAGTTATTCAGCACAGCCGTCAGCAGCGCCAGCCCAGTGAACTGAGGCAGAATTTTGAGGAGGACCCTCAAAATTTCGGAGCAAGCAAGGTTGCCGTGTCTTGAACCACGTTGCAGTTGTTGGTTCATCCAAAATAAAATCATTTTTTTTCTTTCTCAAAATATATATACTTACATTACATTTACTGAATCATGCATAAACATCATTTGCATCACCATCATTTAGCAATGCTACCCCAATGATACATAACGTCAGGAGCCAAGGGATATGAACTAACCTTCCCCCTCTACAGAACTCACGATTTTTCTTTGGATGCAGGAACTCAGATCTCAATGCAAAACGCATTCACTTTTCAAAGTCGAAACCCTCGAAACAATAACTTAACTCACAAAGGTCTCCTATCTACACCCAACATTCCCTAGCAGTCATGATATCGCAACCGCCTATCAGCTAAGAAAATTACTACTATTTTCTCCTTTACATTCCTACACTGCAAAAGGCTACTTTCCACCTTTCGATACTAAGCTCTGTCTCCATCTGCATTCTTGCATAAGGCTACTTATCTGCCTTTCGAGGTTAAGCTCTACCTTCATCGTGCATAAGGCTACTTATCTACCTTTCGAGACTAAGCTCTGTCTCCATCTGCATTCTTGCATAAGGCTACTTATCTGCCTTTCGAGGTTAAGCTCTACCTCCATCGTGCATAAGGCTACTTATCTACCTTTCGAGACTAAGCTCTGTCTCCATCTGCATTCTTGCATAAGGCTACTTATCTGCCTTTCGAGGTTAAGCTCTACCTCTATCCTGCATAAGGCTACTTATCTGCCTTTCGAGACTAAGCTCTTTCTCCATCTGCATTCTTGCATAAGGCTACTCATCTGCCTTTCGAGGTTAAGCTCTACCTCCTTCTACATTCTTGCATAAGGCTACTTATCTGCCTTTCGAGACTAAGCTCTGTCTCCATCTGCATTCTTGCATAAGGCTACTTTTCTGCCTTCCGAGGTTAAGCTCTACCCCCATCATCACCTGCATAAGGCTACCTTATCTGCCTTTCGAGACTAAGCATTGTCTCCATCCGCATTTCCCTGCATTGCATAAGGCTACCTTTCTGCCTTTTGAGGTTAAGCTCTACCTCCATCTGAATTTTGCATAAGGCTACTTTTCTACCTTCCGAGATTAAGCTCTACCTGTATCCTGCATAAGGCTATATTTTGCCTTTCGAGACTAAGCTCTGTCTCCATCTGCATTTTGCATAAGGCTACCTTATCTGCCCTCTGAGGTTAAGCTCTACCTCCATCTGCATATCTTTGCAATGCATAAGGCTACTATTCTGCTTTTCGAGACTAAGCTCTGTCTCCATCTGCATTTTGCATAAGGCTACTTTTCTGCCTTCCAAGGTTAAGCTCTACCTCCATCATCACCTGCATAAGGCTACTTATCTGCCTTTCGAGACTAAGCTCTATCTCCATTTGCATTTCCTGCATTGCATAAGGCTATTTTCTGCCTTCCGAGGTTAAGCTCTACCTCCATCCTGCATAAGGCTACCTATCTGCCTTCTAAGACTAAGCATTGTCTCCATCGCGCTTTGGCTGAAATATCGCCACTTTATTTTTTCGAACGACTGAAATATCGCCACCTGCATTCAATCCCTCACTTCGGCTGAAATATCGCCACTTGCATTTAAATTCTCGCTTTGGCTGAAAGATCGCCACTCTTTGCATTCATTCGGCTGAAAGATTGCCACTTTCTCATGGGCTGAAAAATCGCCAACTTATTCAAAGGCGTCATAGTTTGGAGGCACCATCTGCATAGCCCGAGAACACCATTTCATGGCCTGCGAATCTTCACTTTTATGCTCTTCATGGTCCAGGACATCATAGTCCAAGGACGTCATCCTAACCGTCCGAAGACAACATTCATGGCCCAACGGGAACTTGCATCATGTTTTAATTATGCACAATATACGCCGCTTTGCTCATTTGCAAGTACACAGGCTAGCAAACGGCCGTCTCAGTAGGAGTGATCCCGCTCCAGTCCTCCGCAGCCTATTCGACTCCAAACACCTTTTCAAATCTAATCATTTCATCCGTCTTTTC